CCAGTTTCTCGGATGATGACCACTTACACGCGCCGTGGGCCCGGCCAGAGTTATTTGAAGCAGGTGCTAGCAGACCAGATCAACTCTCTGATTGAATTGCGGGACGTGGATCTGGAGATCAATCCCTTGAAGGTTTACGAAACCATGGTTAAGCAGATCGAAGAGGAAACTGGCTCTCTTCCGGATTACCTGGCCCGGTCTGTGACTGCCGAAGATGCTGCTGAAAATGCACAGGTGCAAGCCATCATCGCCCCACGTTTGAAGATGTTGACGGATATCGCGAACGGATTCATCACAACCATCATTGACTCGGTAGACGAGGCTCCGTACGGTATTAGATGGATCTGTAAGCAGATTCGCAGTCTGTCCCGCAGAAAGTACCCCGATGCACAGGATCAAACCATCTGCACACTTATTGGTGGTTTCTTCTTCCTGCGCTTCATCAACCCGGCAATCGTTACTCCTCGCTCTTACATGCTGATTGATGCTACGCCCACGGACAGGCCGCGCCGTACCCTGACGCTAATCGCTAAGATGATTCAGAATCTGGCGAACAAACCTTCCTACGCCAAGGAACCTTACATGGCCAGCCTACAGCCCTTCATTCAGCAAAATAAAGAACGTGTCAACAAATTCTTGCTTGATCTGTGTGAAGTGCAGGATTTCTATGAGAGTCTTGAAATGGACAACTATGTGGCCTTGTCGAAACGGGATCTTGAGCTCCAGATCACTCTCAATGAGATGTATGTCATGCACGGTCTCCTAGAGAAGCACAGTACATCGCTAGCCCAGGACCAATACTCGCACCTGTCTCTGCTGCTCCAAGAATTGGGTGGAGCTCCCCCTCAAGTTCCCCGCAAGGAGAACCGCACCATCACCGTGCCTTTGTTTAGTAAATGGGAGACTGCTCTCGATGATTTGACAGCCGCTCTCGATATCACTCAGGAAGAAGTGTTCTTCATGGAGGCCAAGTCAACCTTTGTCCAAATCATGCGATCCCTGCCCCAGAACACCTTGGTTGCACGCCGACCTCTACGCCTCGACCGCATTGCCGAGGCTGCAGCAACCTTGAAAAACGATGCCGTAATGGTCCGCAAGGGCATCCGAACCATGGAACTCCTCAGCCAACTGCAAGACATGGGCGTGATTGACCGCTCTGACGAGTTTAGCTTGCTTCGTGACGAAGTGGAGCAGGAGCTGGTGCATCTAGGCTCGCTCAAGGAAAAGGTTCTGGAAGAGACGCGGAAACTCGAGGAAGTTTTCGCGACTATTCGCGACCACAATGCTTACCTGGTAGGCCAACTGGTAACATACAAGTCTTACCTCCACAACGTGCGTAGTCAGTCCGAAGGCAAGAACCGTGGCGGCAAGACGCCAAAGAACCAGGAACTTGGCCCGTACAAGTTCACCCATCAGCAGTTGGAGAAGGAGGGTGTCATCCGACGCAGCAATGTGCCAGAAAACCGACGAGCGAACATTTACTTCATGTTCAAGAGTCCCTTGCCAGGGACCTTCGTCATTAGTCTGCACTATAAGGGTGAGTCCTTGGATTTAATCTTCGAGGAAAACGGAACATCATTGCTAACGCATTATTTAGGACGAGCCCGTGGATTACTGGAGCTTGATCTCAAGCTAGACGATCTCCTGGAGATGCAGAAGGATAACCTTGAGGACCTCGATTTGGAGTATGTCCAATTCAACGTCACCAAGGTGCTTACACTCTTAAACAAACGATTTGCACGAAAGAAGGGCTGGTAAGGGCGCTATACACCCCAGGCTCCCCAGAGTCCCCCTTTGATGAATGATGAGCTCGAGCGGAGGTCGGACAGCTCCCCCTATTTGGTCTTCCATATTTACTTCGCCTGCTCAGCCACCTGATGACCGACCGTGCCCTAGGCGCTTAATCTTGCGATGAAGATGGACAAATATGTCATGCTTCTCCATCCCAAATAATAGATCGGATGACTGCTCTATGCAACGACTGAAATCTGCCCATCTATGCAGTTCGGGCGAATGCCCTTTGTGCGTGTCGCCGACACGCATATACTCTTAATGGAGAATGATCAAGGCCCTCTCCCCGCTGGTACGGGGGATGTCGATGATCCTGTGATTTGTGTCCTTTCCCCTATCTTTTCCTATTATGCTTGCCATTCCTATGTCTCTCATCCTTTCAATGTCTATACCCAGCGCATAGTTGTTACCATTTGTTTTTTTTTCCCGGTTTCATTGGGGGCTCGAGCCCTATAATCCCCCGGCATGTCCTTCTGTTTTGTGTTTCAATCACCGCCCAGACCTGTACGGTCCCATGCGCTGTGTATAATAATGCCTATTTGTGATGCTGTTGAATTGTTTTCAATTGAATACCCGTATGTTATGTTGTGAATCGTTTATTTCTCCACTGAATGCCTAGGCAGATTACAATTCATTTCGGGACTGGCTACTATGATATATCTGTCTTCTTTCGTAAGGTCTAATATGTCAAATGCTGGTGTCCACTGATAGTTATGGAGTGGATTGATTCGTCACTCGACACCTCGACACCGCCACGTCTGCCCCTCGCCTGCTTGCCCCCTTTTTCTCGAGTGGAATCTTCTTTTCGAGTATGCGTGCTGTTGAGATATCTAAATTTAATAAAAGAATAGTACAAATCTGGAGTCGGGAACAGATAGGAAGTGCTATATATTCTATATATGCTACGAAGTACATACAATATAGTCAATCCTTTGTACCCAAATGACAACCTAATAACTCAACTAATAGTCGACCTGCAAAATGACGATAGTCTTGGCCCCTGTAAATCCCTAAGAAGTTCTTTGACAAGGTGGTTTTATTGTTGTTCAATAATAAGAAATAACATTGGTCCCCAGGCTTTTTTTATCTTAAAAAGTGGCCACTTACGCTAATCCCCTCCGCCTCCCGCTCTTTTTCCAGAACAACAACTCTCCTCTTCCCCTTCGACCATATACCTCCCATCAATCACAATGGCGGCCACAGAATCCCAGTTGCCTACGGATCCTAAGTACGACCACTACGACTTCCCCACCACCGCTCCAGAAACGCAGCCTGGTCACCCCGGCCACACCTCCCCCGAACAGGATGCAAAGGTGCAACAGCTCCGCGCTGAGCTCGAAAAGCTCGGCTACACCGAACGTTTGGATACGCTGACCCTCCTGCGATTCCTGCGTGCCCGCAAGTTTGATGTTGAGGCCGCTAAAAATATGTACGTTCCTCGATTCTCAAAGGGCATGGATGTTTGTTTTTTAGAGCAGTTGGCAGAAAGCTTTCTATTCCGGAATTTCTTAGCTTTCGGCTTTTTGTCGAGGCCTAATTGTCTAACTTGATATTTCAGGTTCACTGCAAGCGAGAAGTGGCGCAAGGAGTTCGGCACCGATGATCTGGCTCGCGACTTCAACTACACCGAGAAGGAGGAGGTCTTCAAGTTCTACCCTCAATACTACCACAAGACGGACAAGGTTGGTCTTCTGTAGCTTATACGCATTCAGATGCAATACTGACATAGTGCCAAACAGGATGGCCGCCCCGTCTACATCGAGAAGCTGGGCAAGATCGACCTGAACCAGATGTACAAGATCACCACCGCCGACCGCATGCTGCAGAACCTGGTGTGTGAATACGAGAAGCTGGCCGACCCGCGTCTGCCCGCTTGCTCACGCAAGGCCGGCAAGCTGCTCGAGACCTGCTGCACCGTCATGGACCTGAAGGGCGTGGGCATTACCAGTGTGCCGTCCGTCTACGGGTACGTCAAGCAGGCCTCAGACATCTCGCAGAACCACTACCCCGAGCGTCTGGGCAAGCTTTACCTGATCAACGCGCCGTGGGGCTTCAGCAGCGTTTTCAGCGCCGTCAAGGGCTTCCTTGACCCCGTTACCGTTAGCAAGATCCACGTCCTCGGCAGCGGATACCAGAAGGAGCTTCTGTCCCAGGTGCCCCCTGAGAACTTGCCCGTCGAGTTCGGCGGCACTTGCAAGTGTGAGGGTGGCTGTGAGCTCTCCGATATGGGCCCCTGGAAGGAGCCTGAGTGGGCCCGTACCCCTAAGTGGGCCCTGCCTAAGGAGGAGCCCCCTCACGCTGGTGAGCTTCTTATTGAGGACGACCCTGCACTTGCAAAAAAGGATGTCGAGGGCCAGGAGGCTGCTCAGACTAGCGCCTAAGCTTGCTGAGCACGTTTCCTTGTCTTATTTGTTGGAGATCCAATGAGCCGATTGACAATCTCCTTTTATATGGCGACTGAAATCAGACATCCAGATGGGGATGCTGGAGGTTTGTTTTCAACCCCGATCAACCTGAAAATCTCAAAAAAAAAATATTATCTGGCGGTCCGACAACCCCCAACATAACCCCAATTCCCCGAGGCAAACCGGAATTCCTCTCTTCTGGTAGTTTCAACACCTCTTTCCCGATCCATCCACAGCCTGTGGACCCTTACCCTACATTCGCTTTTTGCGTGTGCTTTTTTTGTTCCGATCTAGATATCATGGAGAGCTTGCTTTTGTTTTTGCTTTTGCCTATCAAGATAAGCAGCGTGTGGCTGCCACTCCTCTCAGTATAGAAGGGCCAGGACGCGATGAAATTTAAAAGCGAGTTGGTGTGAAGATGGTGTTTGTCTTGGTTGTTTCTTTGTTGGTAGTGTATACACGAATGAGCACATATTGAAATGGTAGCTGTCATGTGTAGGACACTATTTGGTCTTTGTTATGCTTATGCTTATGATGTACGATGTAGTAGCAGTAGCAGTAGGAGAAGTAGAAAACCAATAATATTTGCCTTTGGTATAGAGATAGTAGACAGAGTTTAGTCTGAATATGAAAGACGATGTGTAGGATTTTGACTCAATGGAGCCATCAAGAAGGAAAGACATGGTATCATGATCCCTAGGACAAGCCCAGGCCCCCCAAACGCCCCCAACAAATTGCAAGCATAAAAAGAAGAAAAAACGAAGAAGAGAACGCTAATCAAGCAACCCAAAGTCCTCAAGGCAATCACTTATTCATATTCTCCACAACTTCAGCAGCACGGCCAGCTCTCTCAGCCTTGCCCACCGTCGTTGCCAACGCATTACCCTCCACACCGGCCTCCGTATCAGCATTGCCCTCGCCCTGCAAGCGGAGCAACATCCGCAGAGCATCCTCATAGACACTCGCAATATCCCCACTCTTCCACCGCTCCTGCTCTGCCTCCGTCCCAAGCGCAGCCTGCAACGTCCACGCCGGGTCATAGTTTCCACGGGGGCGTCGCGAGAACGCCTGGGCCCCTGTCCTCACCGACCCAGTTCCGTTCGGGATAGAATCAATATCCATACCATCCGGCTCTTGGCCGGGTGTTGTGTTCTCGTTCTCGTTTTCATTATTCGATTGGGGCTGCAGATTCGTAGATTCGCCCATTTCCGTATCGTTATCGGCATCTTTCCCCCCATTTCCAATCTCGTCTTCGTTTTCATATTCTTCTTCCTCCTCTTCAATCATCTTCTTCAACTGCGCGGCATATTCTTTCGCCGCACGTCTCGGCGCATCCCGCCTCTGCTGCGCGACTGTCGTGTTTAGAGATTCCAGCTGCGCGTACAGCGATGTCACACGCGACGCAAGCTCTGTATCGTATGGCTCGTACTCGATTTGTTCAGTGGGCGCGGTGAAAGCTGCCGGGAAAGGGAACTGTGGTGAGGTGGAGTCTATGCCGTTGATGCTGATTGAAGTTGAGGCTGATTCGAAGGTTTGGTTTATGTACTATTTGAAGTTAGAGTCTAGAGATACGTGGATTTACATGTTGTTCTGGTCTCACTTCGTCGATTAGCTCCCGGACGCGTTCGCGCATCGGATCTGGGGTGTCATTATCCGTTGCGGAAGGGGGGAAGTAGAGGTCGAGTTTTCGGCGCGATAGGGCAACGGTATTGGCGTAGAGGTAGGTGAAGTCTGCTGGAGATTGAAGCTCGACTTTTCGATAGTGTGGTGCTGCCATGGTGGGCTCTTGTGGTTGTTGATGTTTTTCTCTGTTCCGATTTGTAGGAGAAATGGCCTTGGCATTCCAAGGTTCATCCCCGCAAACGATGTCATCGATGTTGCATCAACTTACTCTCCAAGGTTGACTTTTTTCGCTCTCTATTGTTTCCTGTTTTCTGTCATTTCTTTCTTTCGTTAAGATAATCTACAGATAATCAACAGTTCTACTTCCCCATCTTATATCCCTCCTTATACTCTGATACGACCCCTTGAGATAATGCAAGTGCAGTATACTCAGTGATATTCTACACTACAGGGCTCGAGGAGCCACTGGGACACATCACCACCATCCTATACATTCCTTTACATACCCTCACACCGACCATGGAGAGGTCGACTTCCATTTCCCTCGTGGATAATACCGTCCCACAGCAACCCACCGGTGAAGGACCTCCACCGGGCACATCGACTCATCACCACAAAAGCCTGACGAAGCACTTGAGCCGTGCATCTGTCCACAGCCAGCTCGCAAAGCGGAAATATGCAAAATGGCAACCCGATCGACTTGGCATCAAGCCAGACACGAACGACTCGCTTAGCCGAGAATCGTCCCAGGTGCGCGGAGACTCGATATCAGCAACCTCCACTGGAGAAGCCAGCGGGACCGGAGATATCGAGACAGCTGACCTTGCTCCGTCGCGAGTCTCGACTAATAATGGGAGCGGCAGCGGCAGTGGCCAGGTGAACGGAATAGGAGACCAACCCAACGGCCATGAGGACACCAAATCCCGCTCAGAAATGGACGTTCTCTACGAGAACCAGCGGGGCTGGTTCGCTTTTGGTATCCCACATTACTCGCACAGCTCACTGTTGAACTTTGATCCCAGCCCCTGGATGACTCAGGACCGAAGAGTCAGTCCTGTTAATATCACAAATGCCCAGCTACCTGATCCAAGCTGGGAGTGGACGTGGAAGACATGGTATGTCGACATGTCTGGTGATACCGATGAGCAAGGGTGGCAGTACTCTTTTTCGTTTGCCTCGTCTTCGTGGCATGGTACGCAGCTGTGGTTCCATTCGTTTGTTCGAAGGAGACGGTGGGTGAGACTACGGACTAAGGCCCATCCACGGCGAAATCGTGATCGCTCGGACTTCGAGAAAGCCCACATGCTTAATGAGGACTATTTTACGATTCATTCATCCAAGGCCAGAAGTCGGGAGCAAAGCACCGCAGGACTGTCCCGGGTGGACACTGGATTCTTGACTCATGCCAGCGCGACGGTCGATGAGGAGTCAGATGTCGATGAGATTGCGGATATACCCAGTTTGATGCATGCTTTGAAATTAGCCTCCATTGATCGAGAGAGGATTGATGCACTGAAGAAATTTATTGAAGTTGGAGGCGACGAGCTCTATTATCTGAACGACAAGGTGAGTTGGGTGATTTCCTCTAATCTATATGTTGAGACCGGGCTAACTCTACTTTGGCATATCAGATACCAGATATAATGTCCATGTTCTTATTCCAGACCTCACGCTGGCAATTTGTAACATATCTTTCTGATGTCATTCGCGGGCTCTCCAAAACTCCCACTGATTCTGATAAGGACGCCGATGCAGTCCAACGCAAGAAAGACAATCTCGCCCGTGCCGCAGAATCCTGCAAGCATCACATTACCGGACCGGATTTCTTTAAAGATGATCATGGGGAGTCAGGAACGGAATTGTTAGACTTGACTCCGGTGGCCAGGCATGATACACTAATGGCTAAGCGACCGGTCTTGAAGGAGCGTGTGAGGTCGATGAAACGGATTTTCAAGGGCATTCCCAAGGCCGCTGAGATTGACCATGAAGGACACATTTATTAATGTATTAAAAGTTCTCTGTATAGACCAAATAAATGTTGTTATTGGGAGAATCACATAGCGAAGTATAGCAGCTCACCCGGCAGAGCCAACCTCCGGCCACCGCCTACCCGTTCGGCGGCTAGCAATTTTCGGGGCAAAAAGGTCCATCGAAAAACACCTCAGCAACGCGCCCAATTCTACTCTCCTTTCCATTCATGTCTCCGGTGCCATTAGAGCATCGTCCCTTATGCTCTTGCGTGGCCGCCCGTGTCTAAGGAGGCGTCTGTCTGCCGTCTTGGACACTGTCGCGACTGGCCCGGATGAGCCTCTTCTGTTTCTCTATCCTCGCTGGGCTGCGCCTGCTTTGCAACGCCGACAGATATCTTCCCTGAAGTCGATTGATACTCCAGCGAGGATAGGCCATACTTCCAGTGGCCCATTTCGCGCAGCAGTCCGCTCCTCTCCTTCGCTTTCTCGACACTCGCGCCAATGGATTTCCTCTGTGTCTTCCGCCCGGTCTCCCGACGAGTTAAATCTGCAACCGTCCCCTGCGGCGGTTGGAGAGAATCCTAACATAAGCAAGGGCAAGGAAACCGGCTCCGATGGTCTGAATCAAAGTGGTGGAGGTCGGCTCTCCGCAGGTCAGAAACAATCTGTCAATTCCCTCGCAGATGCCGAACACGCCACTTCTCGAGAACCGCTACGGGGCTTCGCGTTGACAAGAGCGAAGAGAATACAGCAAGGTCGACTGCACAACAAACCCCTGAACGCCAACTCTTCGTCTCCTACGCAGAGACAGCTTTTTTTACGAAATACATCAATTCGAGATCGGAAGAAGTTGCGGTTTCGCGAATATATGAAGAAAAAGTATCAATCTCGTTCAGCAAAGCTCTTCGACAATGCTTGGTTTGATACAAAGGAGATTCTGGACCAAGTGTACCGCGATATCCGGAGAAATCCCCAGAAGAGTTTGAACAAGAAGGAGATACTTGTACCAGAGGAGACCCTTGCTCTGTTTTCTGGTGTGACCCGTTATACCTTGAAAGAGAATATTTGGTACATTGCGCTCCACAATGGATGTCGTGTGCACATTCTACCTGCAAGTCAGAGCAAGGGATTACTCCGTCGAGTAGTTTTGAGTGCCACCGACCATATCATGGCGCTGGTGGAAGGGCATTTTACCCGTGCACAGAGCCTACAAGCTAAGGGAGATCCACTGGTTGATATTCACAAGCCACCGGTTCCAATGTGCATTTCTCGGGGCGCGATGCAGCGTTCGAAGCTGCCTGTACCGTTGGTTCGTGGAAATTGGCATTTCGGTCAAACGTCGGATACCAGCTCGAATTTGGACGAGATCCTGCTACCTCGTCCGGTTATCGCCACCGTGAAGGAGTTTAACGAGCACATCGAGGATGTCACATCTGCGAGACAACCAACGCTCGATGAGAAGGCCATGTCTCTATCAAAGCTTCCGCACCTGGTCCGGATTAAACGACATCTTGAGGCGCTATTCATGGAAGAAACATACTCCAATTATATCTCGACTGCGGCTTTAAATAATGCACTAGAATTCCTTTGTCGACATGAGTTCCTTGAAACTGCCCGATCCTTGTTTTCATGCACAGAGCATGTGGCTACCACTGATACATATAACATCTTGTTGCGAGCTGCTGCGCGGCGTCAGGATGTGGCTGTCTTTCGTCACTTCCTACGAATGATGCCTCGATTACACATGCGCCCAAACCCAGAAACATGGCTCGCATTGCTCAGCGCCCTAGTTGACCCTAGCGAAAAAGCCCAACTCATTGAACATATGGTTCAGCGTGGCCACATGTCCAACCTTTCCACCATCCACAGCGCGCTCCAGGAGACAATCCAAGATTCGCTTCTAGTGCACTTGGACAGTGGGCAAGATATAGGCTCCTTCATTGGCCTCATGACCAATACATGGGGTGCTGATTGGTTCAGCCCTTCCATTATTGGCCAGATGTTCAGTGTGCTCGCTCGATTGAAGGACTTCGATTCCATAGACCGGCTCATGGAAATCTGCATCGACAACAAACTCACCGTTGACAGTTATCCGCTCGGCCATATCGTGCAAGCGCTGGGCGCGAATATCCACGTCGCTTTGCATTATACCCTGCGGTTTTTCGAGAACCCTTTGTTCGAGGTAACCTCACAAAATTGGGAGGATTTGTTTTTGGCTGCCTTCAGGCACCGCCAGTACAACATCTGTCTAGTTATATGGCGATATTCTTGCATGAAAAGAACCGTGACCTACAAGATGAAACAGGCTGTCTTAACTTCCTTATGTCGCAATGCGTCCTTTGGTAAACCCACGAGACTCAACAAAGATTTATGGAGTTCCGATGCCGGCAAGGTCATTATCGGTATCGACCAAAACCATGAGAGCTACAGGCTCCCAGACTCTATTCTTGACGATATACCCTCCGAGTTCCGTCACAATCCTATTCTCTACCTCATCGGATGGAAACCCAGGGGTGAACAGCGTGATCTCCAAATTCGCCTTGCCAATGCCCTCATCAAGCGTGACATGATTCTTGGTGCAACCCGCTATGTCCCCCAGCATCCTTCCCCGATCATGCTGGATGCAGCGTCCATCTTGGATCAGGAATGGCGTGGTGTACCGCGGCCTTTGACTTGGAAGATGCAAAACGCCATTCAAGTTCCCATCGTCCGCAAAGACAAAGACCGAGAGCAAGACAAAAACAAAGACAAATAATCTCCCAATCCTCCTCCCCTTTGCATCATCATTATTCGATCCTTCTACCTTTTTGACGCTAGCGTGTTGCATGAATATCCCTTCTGGCGGGCTTGTTTTGGCTGGTGTTTGTTTTATGTACGCTAGTCTGCCTACTTTCCCGTCACCTTGTATCTTAAACTTGTACATTATTTGGAAATATAGAATCATAGAGCTTCAATGTCCAGAATAACGCCATCTGAGTATATATTCATTCAATCGTGAGCGAGCACATTCCCTCTTTCAATATAAAAACCCTCAAAATCTAAGCAATGCATCGAGATCATTCATAAAACTATTATAGGCAGAAATAGGGTCTTCAGGAACTCTCTCTTCCTCCGGTGAAGCAAGGCCCCCATTGAGAATCTCAGCTTCGCGAGCCAGCGCGTTCTCCCACCCAATCCTTGTCTC